GTACAGGGAATCAAACTCGGGTCCTTGCACTTGTGCAGCAGGCAGCAAAACCACTGAGCTAAATCCCCGGCCCGAGTCTTGTTAATTCTTTAAATGTAATATGAATTTGTCTGTAAGGATTTAAACAATGGATTCAATTTTTAAAAGTAACTATTGAATTTATTCAGATATCTATTTAATTTTAGTTAAGCTTGGTAGTTACCTTTCAGGAGTTCAGACATTTCATTGAACTCTCAGTGGACAGAATTGTTCATGCTATTTTCTTGGTGTCCATTTAATGTCCTCAAGGTTTTTAGTGGTATCTGCTTTCATTCATAATATTTTGTCTTGTTTTGGTTTTTTGTGTGTGTCTGTGTGTGAGACAAGGTCTCATTATGCACAGTAGTCCTGGCTGGCCTCAAACTTGCTGTTTATAGCCTAGGCAGGCCTCAGAGTCGATATTCTCAACCTCCAGAGTACTGGGACTGCCACTCTGACCAGCTTCTTTCATTCCTAGTATTGGTAATTTGGCTCTTCTTTGTTAATCTTGCTAATTCATCAGTTTTATTACTCTTTTCAAAGAAAGTTTTCGGTTTTGTTCATTTTCTCTATTATTAATTTGACTTTTTCTTCCCTCCTTGTATTGGCTTCCTTCTGCTCACTTTGGGTTTTATTTTGCTTTTTTCTTCCCTAGTTTCTTAAAGTAGCTTTTTTGACTTGAGATCTTAACAAAAGCAGTTGATACCATATTTTACTCTTTGAGTACTGGTTTAATTGTATCTCACATATTGTGATATTTTCATTTTCACTTAGTTTAATATATTTTGTAATTCCTTTTGAGACTTCTTAGAGCCATGAAATTATGTGGAATTTTGTTTAATTTCTAAGTGATTGAATTTTTTTGTTATTTATTTCTAATTTTGTTTAAAGGACATACTTTATATATTTGAGTTGTTTCAAATTTTTTAAGTTTTAAGACTCAAGATATGGTTTATCTTGATGAATGTTCCATGTGTACTGAAAAATGCTTAGTCTGCTGCTTTATGACAATGTTTTTGTTTTTTTGGTATAGGGGATTGAACTCTGGACCTTGTGCTTACAAAGCAGGTAGTGGAACCACTGAGCTAAATCCCCAGCCCTGACAATGTTTTAAATCAATTAAATTTAGTTGTGTAATTCAGGTCTTTGCTAGTACTCTAGTAATTTGTATATATTACTGAGAAGAGTGTTTAACTATACAACTGTAGCTGAAGATTTGTCCATTTCTTCTGTCAGTGCTTTGAGTTTTTGCTTTTTTTTTTAAGCTCTGATATTCAGTGCTTATTTTACATTTAGGAATGTCATGTCATCTTGGTGAATTGTTTTATCATTGTATAATATCCTTCTCTATCCTTAATATTTGGTTGCTCCTAACTCTACTTTGTTGAATTAGTATCAAAACTGGCCCGTGGGGTGGGGATTTAGCTCAGTGGTTTTGCCGCCTGCTGCGCAGGTGCAAGGACCTGAGTTCGATCCCCAGTACCAAAAAAAAACCCAAAAAACCTGGCCCTATCTTCTAGTTCATCTTATTAATATATATTTGCTGTTTTGGGTTTATGGAAAATTATGTTGTACACTTAGCAATTTTAAGCAGTGACATATTTTACAAATTTATTCTATTAGTAAACATTATCTGAATATTCTGAGTATTATTCTCCCATGACTATAAAAGCACCAAAGTTACTGTGGCTAGAATACAGTATTGTTTGGAAATTATATAATCTCACATGAATCCAGCTAATCCTATTTTGGTCGATAATGTGTAGGGTACTAAGACAACAGCCGCTCTCTGGCTTCCTGAATTTGAATCTCACCACCAGTAAGTACATACATAAGACCTGGGGCAAATCATTTGGTGCCTCTGTGTCTCTCTTCATTTGTAAATTGAGATCACCTTATTCAGTTTAGAGAATTATAGGAGATGATTCATATAGAACATCTGGCGATAGTGCTTGACAGTAGAACCTATCACTGCCAGCTACAAATGTTACATCAGAAATATTTTTAGATAAATGTCTCATAATTGGAAATACACATAAGATTCAGGAGCCTTTTAAAAAAAACTAACAGTGTGAAAACAAAAGTTTAATATACCTCATAGAGGTCAAGTGCAAAACAGTTTTATTTTGGCCAGTAATTTCTTGCAATAACTACTTTATATCTTGTTAATTTCAGTTAAACATGAATAGTTCAGAACCATAATTTTCATTAATAATTACCATTTGATCCAAGCATACTAACCTAATGCTGTCATTAGGTTGACTGACCACCCTACTGAAATGCTATTTAATTAGGTGACAGGGTTTGCACAAAACTTCAGGTAGGCAAAATCTAAGGGTAAATTTGTAGGATAGCATCCGTAGCAGTAGTCAACCTAAATAACAAGTGATTAGTCATGCATGGACACACCTTTTTAATGCACATTAAACATACTTATGTCTAAAAAAATTAGAAAGTAAAAGGTCAATTAATGATTAAAAATATTGTTTCTGCTTCCATCCATCTTTAGTGTAAAATTTAAATATATTGAGAAAGCCTTTTATCACTGTTTCATTGCTAAAATAATTAAATCAGAAGAGAAACAAAACTACTCAGCAAAGGATTGCATTTCAATACTTTTATTGAAAGGTATATCTCTTAGTACCAAAGGTAGTTGGTTAGGTTACCTCTGCCAACTCAAAATTAATACTGACATTTTCAAAATATTGAAATATATCAGCCTTATGGTAAAACTGAAAGTATCCACAAAACATGATTTATAAAAAGTTAAAGCTAGAATATACTGTGGTTCTTTGGTTTATTTTTCAATGCTTAGTTATCTGTAACATGATGTTAAAACTGGTTACATCCATTCTGGATAGATTCAGGCTTCAGGCTGCACTGTTTACAACACTAACAATATATGTACATTTCCTTATAT